GACATCACACAAAGCTGGAGTTTTTCCCAAATTAAAATCATATTAATTCCAAATCCTGACCATGCTAGGTGGCTAATGCTACCAAAACAAACATGTTACACATCCAGAAGGAAGAACGCCACATCTCAGTCCTCTGGCTGATTTTAACCCTCTCCATGTCGAACAGCCAAACCCATGTTAACAGTGGTTTAACTGGTTCCACAGTTTTGGATCAACAATATAAATCATTATAATGGGTTCACAGAGTTGGAAAGCACTCCATAGAAGTTTAATGTTTTTAGCTTAACACCTGGCCATTTGATTTTGGCATTGTTGCCTAAACCCAAAAATATATTTCTGTCTACAGATTAGCTTGTAAATATAGTTTGCAGTGGGTGGTAGTTGTTAGCCACTGATTAATGCTACGTGGGCCGAACTAAGACACAAAGAAAAGACAGGTGGGGAAAGGGAACTGGGATTTACCCCAGGTTTCTCGTTTACATCACATCTGACAAATCATGTTAGTGCAGAACGTTTATGAGCCCTCATGGCCCCTGTGTAGGAGGGTTGAAAACCAGGACCTGCGTAGGATTGTTGAGAATGAAATTTGGATCGAACTATGAAACCAAGAACTTGTCTCGCGCACTCTGTAGCCCAGGCTCTGATAATCACATCTTTTCACGTTTAGACGGAGCTAGTACCTCTTAGCCTTCGTCTCTCCACCTCACTCACCTTCTCCTCTCTCACTCCATCTTTCTGATTACATTACCCTCTCCCTGTCAATCAGCCATAAAGCCTATTTCCTAAGCTTGCATCGCATTGGGCCGATTGCTGCAGGCTTTGTGTTCTGCTCCTCTTATCCCTGCCGTCACTGGGGATAATTTCATCACAGCTTACTTTGTGCCTGCTTGGTTTGTCTAACACAGGGTGGCTGCTATGTGTGGGTTTTATAATGGCCATTAGCTTTTCCCCCTGCCTCTTGGGTTATTTTTTCAGGGTGGCTTTGGGGTGAACAGCCTCCCTGAGGGCTCAGACACCAGCAGCTGCATCACACACACACACACACACACGAACACACGATGTAATGTAATAAACTGGCAGATGAGGGTTTCAGACAAGCTTCATTTTACATTACAGAGCTCTGTGTGGGCAGAAGGATGATAAAAGCTTAACGTACTTAAACACACTCCTCTCCTTCTAGCTTTTTTTCTGATGTACAGTGGGATAGTAGAGGCAATCTGGGATGAACGGCACAGTTTTTCTGTTTGCTTGAAGTTTTCTGTACTTTTAAAGTTTATATGTTGGTATTATTATGATTCAAAATATATTCTTATTTCTCCCACATATAGCCGACCCGTACGACACTGTTCTTGACTGCGGTCTGTAAAGATGCCTTCCAGTCCAGGGTTTCCTCTAGGAGTTGTTCCTGCTGGTCAGGTGTCCAGACAGAATTTATTTTACTGGACAAATTAGAAACTTTCCAGTCTTGCTTCAGTAACAGTTTATTTAAAAGCACAAATATATAATGCAAATACATTTCAACAGTGACATAATAGCTTGGACATTTTTGCTGTTTTTAACTTGTTACCACCTTTGATAGACATGTCTGCCAGCTAACCTACTGAGGCCACTAGCTACGATGATATTGTTTATTGTCAACAAGTCTCTACTCATTGTTGGCTCCACAGGGAGAGAAATGAACTGTGTTGTCCAACAGCTTCCACTGACAGTTCCCAAAATAAAACTCTAAACACAGAGTGACCATTAAACAGCTTTAACCATCCGTAACAGTGCGACCTGTCTTACTTAAATGTTTCAAGTTTATTCCTGCAGTTTCAGGGTTAAACAGTCCAAAACGTTGTAAAATCAACAGCTCTGAGCCATCTTCTTGAGCTAACGGTGAATTCTGCTCTCTGAGCTAACACGCAGCTTCCCTTCTTGGGACAGTCAATATTTTCCAGTCTTTCCTTTTCTAATTTGTGCAGATTTAGCCACAACAATCCTTTTGGCATCTCAAGCTCCATAAACACTGGATTCTGCATATCCCATAATGCACCTCAACATTCATTAAACTACCCCTGCTGAAACGCTCACATTCTTTTGAAACTCTCTTCACTTTTGTAACAAATCTTATTTATTCATTAGATAAAATCAGCAAGAAAGCAATTTAAAATAATAGCAGAGAAAAGGATGAACTAAGGACAAATAAATAAATGTATAAAGCAAAACGAATAAACACAAAGGTGCACATCTCCTCTGCAGACGCAGAAGACATTAGAGAGCTCTTTGCACAGCCAGAGTAGGCCTCAGCATGATGTTTGGTTCTGCTAAGATGCTCTGCTTGCATGTGAACTTCTATCATTGTGTTGATTGTAATCACATGACATTTTTAAAGTATGAGGAGGAAGAAGATCTGCGGTATAAATACATGGAACAGAGGAGAGCATCACAGATGGTCGCCTCCCCTCCTGTGGTGCCTGAGCCTTCCTGTTCCTCTGGGTCTGGACAACATCTGTTCGCAGGACTAATAGAATCATTGGGTCCGGTCTCATGACAGGAATACACACACAAACCAGCTAATTGGTCATTTTTTGGCTGATGTCTTCTAGTGGGGCTAAATGAAAACTAGCAAAATTGTAGCTGATGTAATCATAGCAGACAACACACTGCTGGCAGTGCAGACCTCTGCCACACACTCGCTCTGCTTCCACTACACTCCATTAGGTCCATTAGCTTATCTGTACAAAGAGATCTGAACATGCTGAGTCTGAGCCTGATGACATAGCCGTCCCACGCAGGATCGCCCAGTGTGTGTCCAAGTGTTGGTGATAGAAACAGGCTGGAAGCAGAGCCGGTGGTACAGTACAACTGTTTCTGCTCAGTGAGCACTGCACGTTCCTCTCATTCATCACAGAGCTGCAGGTTCTTTAAACATCAGTGCACCGTAAATTTAGGGAATGACTGTAAGTTTGTGTGTGTGTTAATGGTTGGGTCTGAGTAACGTATTGCTGTAGTGTTCATTCTGACGGACACTGATGAAGGTGTTAATGATGATGTAAAACCAACTGCTGACCTACTTTGAAAACCTGGCAGCACAGTGTGAACACCTATGTACCCAGACACACCTGCACAAACCCTGATTAGAGCTGCTGGCCAGATGGTGCTCTCCAGGAAGGCAGTAGTGTTTGTGGTCTGTTTGCTCCAACACTTTTTCTCAGTTTTGTGTGCACTGTACTGTTGCACTATTTCAGACACACATTCAGACATTTTAGAAGATCAAGATAATGGCAGACAATGGATGAAGCTTTGCTTGACCAGAGGACTGTGTTCACACAAGTGGCCTCTTGTTGCCTCCCATTAGTCTCCAGCTTCCAGGCCTATCTGTTAATGAATCAGGCTGTGAGCCAAGTGGCCGAGCGGCCTCCTGTTTGATTAGAATGACACTCCTCCACCCCCTTGTGGTGGCTTGTAGAAGGTGCAGCTCAGGTGCACTAAAGAAATTCACCTTTCCATACATGGATGCATGGTTTTCTGTTCAGC